TCCCTTCACTAAATTAGACTTAGGAGTTAAATTTCCCAGGAATCATTGTAATTCATTAGAGTATATATGTGCCCTTCAAATGCAATTTTATTACTAGAAGAAACAGACAGGAAAAATCCTCAAGCTTTCGTCCGCATTTAGCTTGGTATACCATTCATTTGACCATTCAGACCTTTACCCTTGTCATAAAGGGGGGGGGGGGAGCTGAAACCAAGGATTCAAATAGAAAGTAAATATTTAGAAAATGATGATGACGGCATATGTACAAAGATGCTGGATACAATTGATGTATGGATTGTTATAAGAGCCCTAAGAGACCCCAATAAAATTATCTTTACAAAACGTTGACTCTTCTCACTGCATATTTCTATAACTTAATGCTGACGAGTTCCACCCAGATGTTTGCCCATTGGGAAGTTTTCAGAAAACAAACAAACATATGTAATTAATCTTCTCCTAAAAATAAAGGCTCTGTAATAGGTGAACTTTTCTAAGTAATGAAAACTAGTAGGTTTTTCTCATTTACTGAAAAATCTCTGGGAACTTTGATTTATAATAAATCAACCAGCAAGCAAATTTCATTTTGTTCTTACTTTTGTCACACAGGTGACTTTAGTTTCTGCTTGGCAGATACGAATCAGAGTCGAGTCGTGGCAAAAATATATTACTCATTAAGCTACACTGAAATTTTTTATTCCTTCTAAAAGTAAAAGGTTAACATCAGAGCATAGGTTAATGCTGCATTTTAATGTAAACTAAGTAGAAGGAAAGTTCTGGCAGTTTTAAAACAACCATTTGTTTTAAATGACAATTAGGTCTTTTGCCATAGACTCAGACTTGACTTCTCTAAACAGCTATCTAAAGTGACTCCACACTCTATTCATTTCAGTCTCTTTTCTACAGCATATCACAGGACAAATCACTTTCTAGAAAATCCCCCCTAGCAAATTACAGAAAGTCTCTCCTCCTTTGACATTTATGATACAGTGCTCTCCAAGTTCATTTTCGAACGTTTGTTCCCTTTATTCCTCGTCTTTCCTCCTAAAATGTAAGCATTCTCACGTGTCCTCAGTAAACTTTTGTTTTAAAATTAGAGATAACAGATTGTTTTCCATGACTATCCTGACACTCCCTTAGATTCTCTCAGCCTTCACTGACCCACCAGCAGTCATAGTTTTACTCTCATCTCAATGAAGGGTCCACAATCAACATGATTCTTAAGTTCCAGAGGAGCAATCTAAGTTGCTGACTGCGTATAAGCACCGGGGATGTGTTTCTATAAAACAACCAAGCCTAAATTAATTGGTTTATTTCTCCCATATATTCTTTCATAATCATTCCCATTTTATTTAACTTTAACCCTCCTAAAATCTATTTTCATAGTAAAATCCTGTTTCTTTAACCACTATTATTACACTCACATTAAATGTCAAAACACTACAAAACACGTGTGGGGTTACATAAAGAACATCACATATGAAGAAAACAAGGGGTTATCAAAAAGAAAATACCAAAATGGATCTCAGAAGAGACTCTGAATCTTGCTTTTGAATGTAAATAGCAATATAATGTAAAGCAAATAGCAGATATGATGAAGTAAAGAGCTTGGTCCATTTCCAAGGGCAGACAAGAAGACAGAGTAAACTATTAAAACGAAATGCACAAAGCCTTGAAGTTAAAGAGCCAAAAGGAAGAATACACTCAGCATTTCGCAAGCTGGAAAAAAAACTAAAGGAAAAATTGAAGTCTCAACTTTCTATATTGAACAACTCCTTGGACAAAATATTGAATGATACAAGAAGCATCCAAAAATAATAAGAAGAAGATTAATCGAATCTATAGCTATCATATAAAAAACAATTAGTGGGCATTCAATCATTTCAAGAGATATCATATGATCAAGAACCTATGGTATTGAGGGGAAAGTTCAAGATGCACTGAAAATATTAGTGAAAAACAAGGCTCTGTGAATTGATGAACATTAATTAAGATGGTTAAACAAACTTACATAGTGCTGGAAGCATTCCTGAATCTATGTCATGAAATTTGGAAGACCAACTAAGAGAGATTCCTATTTGTGTCCACTCCAAAGTAAATGATCCAACAAAATTTAGAAATTATCAAACAACATAATTAACAACATGCACAAATAAAATTTTGCTGAGGATAATTCAATAATAGATGCAGCAGTACATTGATGGGGAGCTGCCAGAAATTCGAGTTAGATTCAGAAAAGGATACGGAATAATGGATATCATTGATAATGTCAGATGGATCTTAACGGAAAGTAAAGAATACAGAAAGATGTTCACTTGTGTTTTAGAGATTTTTCAACTACATTTGACTATATGGATCATAACATTCTGTGGATAATATTAAATAGAATGGGAATTACAGAACCCTTAATTGTGCTTATGTGCAACCCATACATAGATCAAAAGACAGTCATGGGAATGAACAAGGAAACACTACAAGGGATACGATTAGGAAATGTGTGTATAAGAACTGTATCCTTTCACCATACTTTTTCTATTTGTATGATGAGCAATTAATCTGAGAATGTACATTATTTGAGGAAGAATTTGCCAAAAGGGTTAGTGGAAGGCTTATTAAAAAAAACATTTATAGATAACACAACTTTGCTTGCTGAAATGGATGAGGACTTGAAGCAATTATTGATGTAGCTCAAAGACTGCAATCTTCAGTATGGATTACAACTCAGTGCAAAGAAGAAAAAAATCCTCAAAATTGGACCAATAGAACACATTTTGATAAATGGAGAAATTATTGAAATTGTCAAGGATTTCATTTTATTGTGAGAATGATGATGGCAACATATGTACTAATGTGCTGGACACAAATGATGTATGTACAGATTGTGAAGAGTTGTATGAGCCCCTAATAAAATGATTATTAAAAAATATATGAGGGAAGGGGGAGCGTGGAAGGGGGGAGAGGGGAAAAAGGAAAATGAGGAGCTGATTCCAGGAACCCAAGCAGAAAGTGAGTTTTGAGAATGATGAGGGCAACGAATGTATAAGTGTGCTTTACACAATTTATGTATGTGTGGATTGTGGTAAGAGTTGTATGAGACCCAATAAAATGATTTAAAAAAAAGAAATTAAATGATGTATTGCATTGGGAAAATCTGCTGCACAAGGCCTCTTTCAAGTGTAAAATCGTAAAGATGTCACTGTCTAACTAAAATAATGGTGTTTACAATCACTCTCATGTGCATGTGAAATCTGAACACTGATAATATTACTGCAGAAGAATTAATGAATTTGAATTATGGTGGTGGCAAAGAAGACTTAATATATCATGGACTTCCAGAAGACCAAACACACCTTTCTTGAAAGAAGTACAGGTAGAATGCTGCTTAGAAGTGAGGATGGAGAGAATCGGTGTCATGTATTTTGCATGTGCTCTCAGGAGAGATCAATCTCTGGAAAAGGACATCATGCTTGGTAGAAGGTGGGAAAAAAAGAGGTAGATTCTCAACGACGTACTGACCCCAACATTGGGTCAGAGGTAGCAATCATTGAAAGGACACGGTGATGGTTCATTCTGTTGTACACAAGGGCATTGTGGGTCAGAACCGACTCACTGGCACCTACCAATAACAGCAAGAGCAATGAAACATACACTTTCTAAACATGTGGAGTCTTTGTGTTGAAGAAACAAACTGGACAATATAATTTAAATCCAAAAAGTTCTCTAGAAGTGGGAAAAATGTTCGATACAATTGGGCTCTTGGAGAAATTCAGAAAGGGATACTTTAATAGCTAATAAATATCTCAAATGCATTTAGGAGTCTCTTAACTTCAATATATCTGGACATTATGGAAGCCAAGTCATTCAGCCTGTTGGGCTATCACCAGACAGACTTTGAGTTTAAAAGGTATGAAATGCTAAGTAGCTGGGTAATATTTAATTAGCAATACATGTGATCAAGTTTTATAGTACTATTTTTTTCTAAGTGAATCAAGCAAAAACTACCCATTGCATTAACATTAATAAGATATTCCCTACATTTATAAAATTGAAATAGAGGACTTGCTAATTTCTTATTAATGTTAAATAAACTAACAAATAAGTGCCTACCAAATACGGGAGTAGAACAACAAAGAGACCCAGTACTTGCGGAGTTTCTACCTTATACCCCCATAAAGCAGGCTTGGGTAGGCGTAAACCCACAGAAAAGATTAAGATAAAGAGAAGAGGGCTCCCGATGTCTCCATGAGAACCCTCTTAACCACTTCTACTGCGTGTCCAGGGTACCATTATGACCTAGGGGGCTGGTTGAGCAGTATAGCCATGCAGCATCTAATTACATGTGGTTGTTACATAATCTTATGTCAACTTGAAGTGTCGGGGTGGAGTCTAGCCTGTCAGTCAGGTCACAGCTGGATCGTGCCTCCTTGTGGACATGATCTCCACATAAGGAGAGTCCTGGGAACCTCCCCTGCTCTCTCTGCTTCATCTTCCTGCTGGCAAGCCACTTAGAGCTGTCTGAGACCTGCCAGGTCCCTGAAGATGTGTCCACTGCCATCGGATCCACAGACTTTGCACCCACCAGCCTGTGATCTTCCTGCATTCTGCATCATTGCATGTCGCTGCATGAGTCTGAAAAGGGATTTATGGACCAGTATCAGACTTATGGACTTGATCTGGACTGCTCTTTCACGTTTGCTTGATATATAATGACTTCTTGACATACAGCTCTCTCTTACACATATATGAGTGTCTCTGGATCTGTTTCTCTAGTCTACCCAGCCTAAAACATGTCTTACAATATTATAGCAGCAACGTATGGCTCCTTGGCACTGTGTAAGGTACTTTATTTCAAAATTCTAAATTAGAAGGTAGGCAGCTTTCAGGGTAAGTAAAGGGTAAGGAACAAGAAAAAAAGTCTCAAGTATAGATAAGTATAGATGTTGAACATTATAGATGTTTGTTTGCAAATGCACAATACATTTTTCAAGTCCATTGAAACTTACCTGCCGCCAAAGTCTGTCCTGTTTCTGGAGCACTGGTTACACAACCAACGGAATTGCAGAGAGAAATAGTAAAATTGTACAATTTGTAAGGTTTCAATCTGTGTACAATGTAAGATAGTTCTTGGGGTTTCACACTGTATAATACCTTTAAGGCCAAAAAAAAAAAAAAAAGATAACATTGTTAGTGTGAAAAATATACCTTGTCATTCAAAGTTCCATGAATTCAGACAGAGAGAATTATTGCCAACTACTGTAAGAAAAAGCTTTTATTTTTTTTCCTGGAGACTCTCAACAAGCCAGAATTTAATTGATAATTGTACAATCACACTGTTTTATGAGGTAATAATCCAGTTCCTGAGTGGATAAATGAGGAAACCAAGTTATTGCCTCATAAAGCAGCATGGTGGTATAGTTATTGTCACCAATGGCACACATAAAGGATGGTGACATTGCCATTGTTATCATGAAAAACCCAAACAAAACCCTGGGGTTGGCCAAAAGCATGCCAGGGCAGTAGTGCCCACATGCTGTTTGATGGAGTTAGTACAGAAACCCGTCACAATGGCAACGAGGTCCGATCATACACTTTCAAAAAGAAAGGTGGAGGGAAATACCACAGAAAAGAAAAGAAACCTATTACTGAGCATCCACATGAAGCCATTTTTCAATTATCTTTCTTAAAAAACAAACATCTGTAAATTAGATCAAGCCATTGCTTTCTTTGAAATACTCTTTTTAATCATATATTTCAAGTGAAAAAGAGGGGGAAAAAGATGTGAGAAAGTCGGAGAGGAACACCACAGTTCATAAACAAGTCACTAAGCTTCCACAGTGACAGCTGCGCCTGTCATTCTAACTGGCATGGATCAAACAGAACTATGTAGACGTGCATAGGCTGTGAGTACAAAGGTCACTGCTGATACTAAGAAAAAAAACTTTAAGAAGATGGAGAGTATGCTATGAAACATATTTTCAAAAACTATGATTTCTTCAGAATACTTATACACAGTTATGTTAAATAATTTTCCATTATAGGTAACTATGATGGTTAGTAACTTTTACAGTAATCTTCTGGATATCACCCCTCTCCCACTAGCACTCCCTCACCGTTACCAAGCGATGCTGACTCAGTGACCCTACAGGACAGGGCAGAACCGCCCCTGTGGGCTTCTGAGACTGAGACTCTTTACGGGAGTAGAAAGCCTCATTTCTCTCAGGGGATCTGCTCATGGTTTCAAACTGCTGACCAAAGAGTAACCACTATACAATAAAATTCATACGAATATGTGCCTGAATGTTAACCTTAAACTTTCATCATCTTTTGAGTAGTTCTGGAAAACAGTGGGATTATAAGACAGATTTTTATTTACCTAACATTTTTTTCCAAAATAGAGTTGGCTCCAAAGATTCTAAAAAAATAGATTTTATATAATTTTCTCACATATCAATTGCACTGAGAATTCAAACATTGAAGACCTAATTATTCATTCATCTCTCTAAATATAAAGTGGTTATTGAACTACTGGAGATGTAAGCTTTTTCTTCTTCTTCTTCTGTGCAAGTTGCTTTAAAATTTTCCTGAGGAAAATAAAACCTTGAAATAGTCTAAGCACTGAGCATAATTACAAAACTTAATCCACATACGGCAAATCTAGTGGTGCTTTCAGGAAAGACTTTCTGGAACTCAAGTTTAAGGAAAAAGCAAAACATCCAAAACCTTCCTAATTAATGTAGGAAGTGGAATCACTTGTAAAACAAGTGATTCTGGTAGTAGCGATGCCTGATGGAATGGAATGAAAGGAGAAACTTCAGATTGCTGCTATTTCAGCTCACTGCCGCTTCTCTACGCGCAGTCGTTTTGTTTTCTATTTTTTAACATTTACAATTTCCCAGAGCTTTTGGCATACAAAATCATCGCTGCATTATAGACTTTGCCTTCTTCATACATGCAGTAAGTTGACACAACTTGAATGATCGATACAATTTAACATTTTCCACGGGATAAACCATTAAAGGATGGGAAGATGACAGACCAGGCATATGTTCTAGAGTCTAGAATACCGAAAATCCCTTCAAACAAAGACAGGAGAAACCAAATGACGGTTAAAGCTGACAGTCCTGCAACCCTGAGTTTCAAAGGAATGGATTAAGAAGGAGAACCAATACCCATCAAAAGAAGCACGTGAATGAAAACCATGAAGAAGGAGACACATGGAGACACACTACTCTCTCAAGCCGGCGCTCTACTGCCCAAGGACTCCGGGGCCATCAGAATATGCCAGCCAGGCTTTCTCTTTTCTTATTTTTAAAATGCTTCCCCTTCCCTTGTTTTTGTTTTGTTTTATTTCTGGTGTTCAATTGTCTTCTTTTCTCTTCTTTTTTTCCCCTCTCGCTCAAACTCTCACATAGTGGAAACAGCGATCTTGTCCACACTAGCCAGCCACATCTACCCCTCAGGCCAGCCCACTTACTCCCTCCACTTTCTCCTGCCTTAGTGAAAAACATACAACCGCCAACAACCACCTCACTTTCCCTCAATTTCTCTATATGAAAGTCTTTCACTAGACCAAGTGCTGCCACAATAGCCAGCCATGTAGCATGCCCGGCCTGCTCACTCAGCTATATCAAAGCAAAATAAAGCCATAATCCAGGACAAAACACACCAACATCAATTAACCACAGTTCTAACAACACAGTATCTCTGATACAAAAGACAACCTCAGTTTATGCGCATACATGTACACACTAGGGACCAAAATACAGATACAACCATAACCAAATCACCCTTCCTGTAAAGAGTTCAAAGGAATTACATTGTTATAAACTGGCGCAACAGTGGTGTCTGAACATCTGACTTCTAAAATGGAAGAAAGAATCCGACTTCACAAGAGTTGATGCTGACAGGACTAAGTTCAGATGTGCTTTTAACCTGCCCACCTTCCTTCTGACTCCTGACTCAACTCTTCTACCCACTGCATTCTCTACTTTTCAAAGATCCAGAGATGGCTAGCATGATAAAAAAAGTATTTTTAATAAAATAAAACAAGCCAATGATTGTTAAGATGTTTCTGGAATTCACAGATGTAGAAAAGTAAATAAATACATACAGAAGGAGGTGGGGAAAAGTATTCCATGGAAGTGTGACATCCTATCCTGATATTACAACCACTTCTATGTATTTCTCCTGCCACATTCTTAGACAAAGATTTCTTACCAGTCATTTTTTGATATAGGAATTATCCAGATATTTTTGATCTACCAAGATTTAAATAAGATACACTCAGTTCAGTTCAGAAACATAATTAATTATTGAGAAGGTAAAAAGAATTACTTTAATTAAACCACCGATTTAATAATATGAATGAATATGTACTTAGTTACAGACCAAGGAACAATGACTAACAGAACACGAGAACTGCATATTTTAATAATAAAGAAAGGTGAGTTGTCTCCTCTTACCATATGTATTTAGTCTGTGTGCTGAGCAAATGACACAAAATACTGGACACTATAAGGAAAAATCCGGCATCAGGATTAGAGCGAGGCTTTTTAACAAGCTGTGATATGCAAATGACACAACCTACCTTGTTGAAAGTGATGATTTGAAGCAATAACTGAAAGCACTGAAGCTTTCAGTATGGATTACAAATCACTGAAATGAAACCACAATCCTCACATTTGAGAATGGAGAGAGATTGAAGTGGTCAAGGGTTTCATCTTGCTTAGATCCACAATGAGTGTGCGTGGAAACAGCGGTCAAGAAATCAAAGGTGCCTGGCACAGGTAAAGAGCTGCTGCGCAAGGCCTCTTTAACGTGTTGAAGGGCCAGGATGTCACCTGGAGGAATAAGGTGTCCCAGACCCAACCCAGCATCTGTTCCACCACCTCATATGCATGGAGAAGTTGAACACTGGATAAAGAAGACTGATTAAGAATCTATACATTTGACTTATGTTGCTGGAAAAGAATACTGAAAGGGACATGGACTGCCAAAAGAACAAATAAGTCTATTGTCTTGGAAAAAGTACAGCCCAAATGCTCTAGCAGACTTCCACTCAGATATTATGGACATCTGATTAGGAGAGACAAGCCCCTGGTAAAGGGCATTTTGCTTGGTAAAGAAGAGAACAATGGAAAAGAATAAGGTCCTCAATTAGATTAATTGACACAGTGGCTGCATGCAACAATGGGCTCAAACACAGCAAGGGTGAGGACGGTGCAGTTTCGTTCTGTTGCACAATGGAATTGTACCATGAGTTCGAAATGACGTGACAAAATCTAACAGCAACCTAAATAGATGATGGTAGAGGAAGAGGAGCGTGCGAGCGAAGCAAGTAAGCACGAGAAAAAGAATAAACGGATGTGTCTGGATCCTTCCAATTCAGCCACAAATACTATTTCCCCGCCCTCATTAAATAATAGCTACTTGATCATGTGAAATGTCATCTAATGTCAAGAGTAATAACAAATAATGAAATGAGAACAAATATTTATCAAGTTCTTCCAGCTCCACAGGGATCATCGAGGTACGCAGAAAACCTCCAGTGGAAGAACACCTGACGCACAGAGGCTCAGGAGACCGCGAGGGGCTGAAGCGAGGGGCGAATTCAAATGATGTCATATGAAGGCTGATTTTTATCCCCCGTAATGCTGGGGGTTTCCTGTTTTGTTTGGCTCAAGTAATTACAACAATACAAGTAATCATTGCTTTGAAACTGTGCTTTACAAAGAAAGAATTGTTTACAAAACATTAAGAGTTGTCCAAACCACAAAACAGAACTTCCAGGATGAAGACGACATCGCACCTGACAGTTAAAGACCAAAGGTAGTGGTTATAACTGGAAGTTTATTTTAAATCCTTAATATAATGAATTGGTAGACTTTGATTTTTAACTTAAAAGATATGTATTGTTTTAGTTATGTTTTTATTGCAGGATATAGTTGCAAATTAGCATTATACCTAGGCTAATGGAAATGTATACCAAGAAATCATAAATAATTCATCATCGATATTTCTTTTTCTGGTAGTAAAAAAGCATGCATTTTATATAATGATATATATGCATCATTCTCCACTGAGGACATTTAGAAACAATGTCAAATTTACTAGCAAGGATATTTCTAGGGCCTGGATAATGATCATTTCCTATTTCTCACCAAAAGAAATCTTGAATTCTTCAAGAAATGGCTGGTTTCAGGCATGGGTAGGATGTATACCAAATAGATTTGGATATCTTATCATTACTGCATATCAAGGAAGTGAGCAAACACAACTAGAGTTAAATTGGTATAACTAAGGACTCCCACTTCCAAATATATGCCAACTGGTCATTCAAAATTAATAACTGCAATTTATTTAAGTTCATAATAATTTATTAAGATGTATGGATTATTCATGATACTTTTCAAGTTGGTAACCGATGAAGGATGATAAAGCACTAGTTAAGTGTCTTAAAACACATTTTCATCATGTCGGATTCATAGCAAATCTAGAGGACAGCTGGGAGCTGCCCAGGGTATATGGGGTGGGAGTGGAGGGGGCATGTCTTTCTCCCAAGGAGTAGCTACTGAATTTGAAATTCCAACTATGATGTTAGCAGCTAAGCACTTTAACCACTATGTCGCTGAGATTCCTTATTATCTCAAAAATGTATATATCAATATAAATTTATATATTCTGATACATCTTAATTTTGAAGTTTCAATGAATGGGACATAGACATTAAGCACCAGTGGCTAAAAATCACAAAAAAGAGATGCTTCAATTTTGTATCCTTTCCATAGTCTTACCAAATACCACTCACAGTCTTACAAAATGAATTGATTCTGGGTTTGATCTAGCTACCTGTTTCAAGATAATATAGATGCCTGAACAGTTTGTTGAATTGCACCATGAGCATGTAATCAGCAAAATCCAGAATATAGAAAATGCTACATGTCAACCAATCTGGGTACCTCTGCAGGGATAGCATGAGAAAGGGAAAGGAATAAAAGTAGATTTTTAGATTAAAAAAAGGCAACATACATTTAAATGTTAAGCAATGGGCAAGTACAAATTATAGTTAACAGGAAGTGCATACTAGATACAAAAATTTAAAAAGAGGATGTCTTTAATTAATCAGGATAAGAATTTGTTATAGGGCAGGGAAAGCGTTGTGACCATTTGTTTTTTTTATTTCTTGTTTTATTTGTCGACTTGGATGGCCTTTCCTTAACCATTAAACTCTACATTTCAGTTGTGTGACTATTTTTTGCCTGCATTTTATTTAATAATACTTTTTTAACTCAGAGAAGATACAGGAAGACAACAGAAGTAGATTGAAAATTTAGACTAAGAAATGAACTTGGGGTGGAAGCAAAAAGAAAGAAAAATAACAATTGCAGAAGGAAATAAAAAAATTAAGTGTGTTAATTAGAGTACTCTAGTAAAGAACATGGGAGTAAGAAACATGAACAAATTTTTTTACAGAAATAGAGTTTAAAAAATAAGCAAAGAGTAAAATGATTGCTATAGCAGACAAAAATCCAATGGATACATAAAGATTTTTTAATAATTTTAAGAAGAGATAGCTGTAGACTATAAATGGAAGTCAGAAAAATAATGGGCATGCATAATTGGTGTCCCTAGTAAGAAAAATAAACAAAAGGAAATAAAACAATCCCTTAAAGTTACAATTTCAGAAAAGTTCCTTAAATACTAGACAATTGGGGCTACATGTTAAGTAGCAGTCCTCTGTGCCATGGAAAATGGTCTCAGTGCAGTCACCAGCCAAGTTCTATCCTCTCACTTTTTGAGTCAATGCGGACTCTTAGCAGTCCGACAGGACAGGGTAGAATTGCTTCTGTGAGTTTTCGAGAGTATAACTCCTGTGGGTCTGGTGGGTTTGAACTGCTAACCTAAGGTTACCAACCCAACTCATACCCACTACACCACCAGGGCTCCTCCGTTTAAAAGTTATGATAAATTCTATTCTTCCACACATTTTCTAAGAATATATAAATGAATAAGCACACTATATGTTTACTTATATTCCAAAAAGATTAAATGTAATATAAATCTCAACTGACTTTTTATTAAAGAGTCTTGGTGGCACTGTGAGTTCGGCATTTGGCTGATCACTGCTAGGTGAGTGGTGAAGTACCACCAGTTGCCCAGGGGAGAGGATTAAGATGTCTACTTCCATAAAGACTTGTAGTCGCAGAGTCTATAGAGGAGCATAATGTTTGAAACTACTTGAACGTCAATGATTTAATGCATTATTGAAAGTCCAAAAAATATGTTTGGTAGTGTGCAGCTACTGAAAGCTGGCTTCTTGTCAGATATATAAGAATATACAGCAAATGTTACAACGTAAAAATAAAACCTATGAGAGCCCGAAGTCACTCAGCCGGACTGCCTTGTTGTTCCGGGTATCATCAGCTTCCTGCCTTTGACAGGGTGCAGCCACCACTTGTCGATCACTATTTACTAGATTACATTTAGTTTTCCTTTTCTGACAAGTTTTTGTCACACATGGGCTCTGACTTACACAAATTTTACCATAGTATGTTAAGGAACGAACTTTACTTTCTAAAGGAATACGTAGCGGGGTTAGGGTGGGGGACTGTTAATCTCTTACAGAGTTCTGTAACCTCAGAAAAAAATGGCAAAATGAAGTAATCATTCAATTCTGGAAGGACATTAGTTGAAAATCACAGTACCTGTGAATAAGAGGTCCCTGGTCTAGAGTGTTGAGGCAGCTGCTCTGGCATCATACCGATGTCATACCTCACAATTTCTCCCCTTGTAGCATGCGTGGCTGGCTTTGTCCAAGATATGTTCAGAGAGTACGGTGAGAGAGGGGAGACTGAAGGAGGGGTCATGAAGACAGGTACTACTGACAACAAAAACAAAACAATAAATGCTGTGTTTACAAGCTTGGACACTGGATTCATAAGCATATTCTTTTTTTTTTTTCTTGGAATATCCCTTGTCCTTGTCCACTACTCTGATTTTTAAAAATAAAAATCATGCTGGTGTATATAAATGAGGTTTACTTTTTAAGATTATCGGTAAGAATATTCTCCACCTTCATAATATTCACAAAGGCATTTTTGATGCATAAAATAAGGTACTATAGGAATTTGCTGATGTTCATAATGATAATTAGTAGATAACCAACCAGGAAAATACAGGTCATATGACGTACTTGAAAGATGGACTCATAAACTACATCTCAATCCACAAAATTCAGAAAATGCATAGTAATGTACCAGGTTTCTTATGTAAAGAAAGATTTCAACAGGGAACACTGGTACTAGTTAGAAACAGGCAAATTTTAAATGTTCTAAATAATCCCAGAGGAAACTATTAAGTTTGGGGCATATCTTGATCGAAATATTCAGGGTACCGGCTCATATATATTTTCCTCCTGCCATCCTTGAGGTCTTAATATGGATTTTAAATGTGCTAACCAAAGGTATATTATCAAAGGACCTCATCACACTTCCATTAGCCAGTGACCCATAAGATTATGAGGGTCCAGTATTACAATTTCACCTATTACTTTTCATTCCTGACCTTGACTTTCCCCTTCCAGAATGCCATGCCTCATCACTCGTGCTCTCCTGGTGCTGTTATTTGTCCAAGATGGCTGGTCGTCATTAAGAGATGCTGAAGCACAATGCACATTTTATTCATGAAATGATTCCCTTGGACATCAACCTAAAACTACCTTCACCTGCCACAGTCCTAACAAATATAGGTCAGGGCTTGGGTTTCTTTGCATATACACAGGTTCAAAGCACAATAAGAGATATTCTTTTCCTGACGGATGGTAGAATTTGAAGTATTTTAAATGTAAAAATTAAGGTAAAGGATTTTAAAATCTTATTTGTTGGAATAATGCTAGCATAAAAGTATTTAATTTTTCCCTCTGCATTACCATATTGTCCACTGTTCATAAAAAACTGTTACAGATTTTCATGTCTAGGATTCTGTTGTTATGTACCATTTAGTACCTACATTATTCATTGTGAGAAATGAAAATAAAAATCATATATAGGATCTTGATCACTATTATGTTTTTCCATTTAGTACCCAAAAATCAAACCAAACTTCCTGTCATCGAATATATTCCAACTCATAATGACGCTCTATGACAGGACAAGACTGCCCCTGTGGGTTTCTGAGACTATACCACTTTACGGGAGTAGAAAGTCTTGTCTTTCCCCGTAGGAGTGGCTGGTGGTCTTGAAAGACTGACCCTGTAGTTAGCCGCCCAGCATATAACCCACTACACCACCAGGGCTCCTATTGGGCTACATCTTGAGTAAGATAATATATGTAGCTAACCCACTTCAGGATCAGATATAATTTCTAATCATCTCACCCTCCAGTCCTTGAAATAATAGCTAAATCATTTACTTTTTGTGACCCCAAAGCTTCTTGCAAATAGTTTATTATGTTTAAGATCTTTAGGTATTTTTGTAATGTATTAATTTTTTTCCATTGGGTATACAAGCTTGTAATGTTTGTTGTTCAAAATGTACTTTAGCGCTGTTGGATTTAGTTTGAGGCCATGCATGATTCTTTACCTGATTCACTTGTTCTTCCTGATGTCCAAGCAGAAAACACACTACCAGCCATATTCACAGCTAAGACTCTAAACTCATATTTGGTATATGGATCCAAGCCACTGATGACTGTGGTTGTTTGGGGAGGCTGTAATGCATTTTCACTGGCTGAGTCTGTAAATGGGTGAGGACGGAACCAGCCACTGTTCTGAAAAACTCTTCTTTCTGCAGGCACAGTTTCTCCCGTAGAACTGGATCTTTTCATGTACAGTTCATATCTGATAATTATTCCTAGAAAAGTCAAGCAGTGAACCAAGTGATTCATTAGACAAATTGGCTTGATTTTTGGTAGGGGGGGGGGGGGGGGTAGAAGTAGGGATAGGCTGGTAGATGAATGTTGGCTCTTCATTTTCCATGTGGCAAAACTGCCTGTCCATTGCTTTAGCAATCTAGCTATTTACCAAGAAACTAACCGAAGGATACATGAATTATACAATAGTTACAAGAGCAAAGAGTCACATTGAGGACTGATGTGAGCCTGAACCAAATGATAGCATTTTCAATAGCATTAAATGCATGAAAAAGCTGAGCAATGAAAAAGGAAAATCAAATAATGGATACATTTGATTTTTGGTGGAGAATATAGAACATATGTGGACTGCCAGAAGAACAAACATCTGTCATAGACGAAGTACAGCCCGAAGCTCCTTAGAAGCAAAGATGACGAGACTTCATCTCCTACACTTAGGGCGATGCATCAGGAGGGACATGTCTCTGAAGAAGGACCTGATGCTTGGTAAAGCTAAAGTCAGTGAACAGTGGTGTGGATTAACACAGTGCTGTGGCCATGGGTTCAAACATAGAAATAATTATTGTCTGCAAGGCAAAGCACAAGGCAATGTTTTTTTCTGTTGGGCACAGGGTCATTATGAGTTCAAAGCAACTCAAAAGCAACTAACCATGGGGGAAAAAATGAAGAAATGTTTACAATAGATAATCACTCTATGGTCAGTAAATTAATATTTTTAAAGATAAAGGGTCATCATTTCTATTAAGTCATAATTTCTATGAAGTCATTTTACCTTCAATTTTTATATTATAAAATGTGGGGATTACACTTGACAATTTAATTTAAAGGGACCTGGGTGCACTGGGTCAAGCCATGGGTTAGTAACCAAGAAGTTGGCGGTTCTTATCCCCATGCCGCTCGACTGAAGGGTGGAGAAGAAGTCCGCGTCCATCGAGATGGACAACCTGCAGGAGCCTATGGGACAGCTCCGCTCTGCGCTACAGGAGCGCTGCAATGTGGGATGAACTCGGTGGTGCCCGAGTCCTGTTCACATATCCCTAGTGAATGACTTCAAACGCCTAAATAAGGTCTCCCTTCATAAGTGTGATATTAAATTATTTTTTAAAATCTATGAATGTGAGCCTGGCCTACCTATATAACCCTGGGTTCAGTCATCTAAGTATGAAGATTAACTTAATGGAGTCAGTTAACCTATAGACGGTGAAAAAATGATTTTACATTTCTTCTTGTTGAAAAGAGAAAATGTACCCCTCATGAGTGCTCTAACTCATGACACAGTCAAATCAAATGCGTTTCATAAATGAGTGTCAAATTGTAAGCAAGATTTCTGTGGGTGGCAGATGTCATTAAAATAAAGTTAATGCTAGCCTTTTACAGAGTAATGTAATTGAAAGTTTTATTAGATTAAAAGAAACATACTTGTCCCATTCACCAGAACAAATAAGGCCATATGTCTTTAGAAATCCAAAAGTCTTCCACCCTACAGTCACACACATGAATGCAATTGTCAGACTCAGTTTCCAGGCCCAAATTTCCTAGATTCTCCTTTGGGTTTTTCCAAAGAAAGGGACACCAGGCTTTGGGTGCTTACCATTTGGTTCCAGCGGTGGTGACCATTCTACATGAAGTTCTGTGGAACTGATCTTGTGAACCTCAGGTGGGCTCAGCCTCTGGGGAGGGGCCTGGGCTGTTGTCACTGTCATGGGCAAGCTACTCAGACAGCCCCCATTAGTGCAGGCCTGCACAGAGAAACGGTAGGTGGTGAACGGAAGCAGATTCCAGATCGCAGCTGCAGTTCTCTGACTTTCAAAGGGAGCACATGCTTGGGTGCCATCTAACCGTGCACAAGACAAAATGTAGTTTTCAATAGGACCAGAATCATTTGAGGGTGCAGTCCAGGTAAGCTGCACAGAGTCTGAGCTTACAGGAATGACATAACTTAAGTTCAGGCTTCCCTGTGGGACCCCAGATTTTGTCCTGTAAGTGGCAGCTGCACTCCTTGTTGAACCATGCGCACTGGAGGTCTTGATGTAATAGGAATAGACGGTGTATGGAGACAAGGCAGTGTCCAAAAAGTATTGAATATCTGAAATTAAAGAAGAAAAAGAAATAGTTAACATCTAGATTTAATAAGGGATCATTTTAATTACTCTTCAGCTATATAACTTATATAAACATAAGCTATGCCAATCCATTATTTTGAAAGACAGTATTAAAAATAATACTGATTCTTTACTTTTACTATACAGCATAGAGTAAACAAAAGTGACATTTTAGTCAATATTTAGAATTTATTTAAGCTCTTATTTTTCTCTTTATATTCTAATTTCTTTTAAAGGCAGAGTAAGAATTTTTCTGGTGCAAATATAACTATGTTTCTCCTGTAAAACTTTTATTTTTCAAACACATGTAGATCAGATGAGAGTTCAGCATAGTATGGTCAAATCTGTTCACTGGCCAGCATTGTGATGGAAACTTTCCATGGAAACTGTATGAGATTATGTTTATCATTGCTTTAAGCCACTACATTTTGAGGCCCTTCTTATCAGCAATGGGGAATTTACAAAGGAGAACTTACGGGCAAGTAGAACTGTGTGCATGAAGCATAGGAAGGACTGTGCAGAGAAAAGGAAAGATTAGAAGAGACTGAAAAACGCAGGGGATGGAAATGATCAAGTAGGTGCCTGAATCTCTCCATTCCCTAGAAGATCAATAAGTACAAACGCCAGACGAGCTGCTGACGTTCTTGCTGAACAGGCCTCAGGAGTGGGTATCCATCATGAAGGGAGCCCCATTGTTACATGCTGATGCCAGCGTATGTAAGGGCACTTCAAACTGGAATAACGGAATGCTTTATCAACAAGAGCCTGATTTTAATCCAAAGGGTTCTTGGTTTCTCAAATACTGAAGACGGTAGGCGGTGAGAGTCAGTGAACATACTCTGGAGCTTTGATAGGGGCAGCCAGGTGACAGTGCAGCCTCCAGGCAGGCAAAATGGATGGTGGACCTGGAAGGTAATCTCAGACAGTCCTCAGCAAAGCTCCTGAAGCCTCAACAATGTTTTAAATAGATGCGTTCAGCATCTTCACGTTTTCTTATGGCACCAAGTACGGGTGCGTGAAGATATGACCCGCTGCTGATCCCAGCTTGACTAGGGATTTATAAACATTATTGTAACTTTACTTAGGCACATGTGATTGCTGAGAACTTTCTAAGGTGCCCAATTATCCACGTGAAAGTAAAATCTTGCCAAATGTCAAAGTAATAGAATTCTGGAATCATGATGCTATACTTTTTCTTTAAAATTATTTAAATTCAGTATAATGCTTTTATGAAAAAATGTACCAAAAGTTTACTATTTGGACTAAACTTTGTTAACAGCACTATAAGAATTGCCTCTATAGATGAGAATAGCAATAACTATAAACCCTAATTAATCTCTTTCAAAGCACATAATTATTACAAATCACTAAAAAGTATATTCAAGCTGATATCTAATACTCTCTCCTGTATTAATTAGTTGGCTTTTTTCATTGTGAAAAAAAGCAGGAAATTGCTAAGAAAACTCATGTTTTCTAAGAACATGAGTAACCTGTAAAGGCCCATATCAATTCCCTCCTAATTTATTTTATTTTCTAAACTTCAAATTGACATGTATTGAGGAGCAGAATAAAGTGTGTAGAGAAACATACTAAGCAAGCATGATTAGTGAATTGAGTATTGGTAAAAGAACAGAGTTTTACCTAGAAATAGAAGAAAGAAAGCTAGTCAGGAGCTTCCACTGCTCCTCAATATGTAGCTGATATATGTTACCTACATACACACCGTAATGCATGCCTTGTCTCAATCTAGTTCAGTATTCTGAAAAACTGTCTTTCTTACCCAGGAAATATTCTCACAAGTTCTATCTCCTTCTTACTTCCCCTGGTATTCACAAAACAAAGCATATATCATAGAATTGCAACAAATATGTTTGATGAATTAAAGATACACTATCAGTTTGGGAGAGGCATATACTCCACTAGATGATCTGCTGGTTATATATGGGTAGTAGTTACCAAATAATATCATTCCATAAATTATTCACATGGCCAATAAACTGGTTTGAAAGATACAAATTGAACAAAACACTTGTCGGAAATTGTACAGTAGCACGGCTAATAGTACCATCACAACTGGTAAAGGAAGGAAAGTCCACTGTCTACATGAGGCAGAGAAAGGTTGCCATTACTATACTTCTGGAATACAATATCCTTTTCAATGACTACTATAATAAGTTTAATTTATCATCTGTATCCCATATAAGATTGTTCAAATGAATTTTTTTTGTTAAAAATAAGGGATAGTCTCTGAAGGTTAAAAAAACACTGGCAGTGTTCTATTTAACATGTCAAAACTCAGAACCTAATTAGGAAAAAAAAATATCAACACCAGATTTTACAAAACCTGGCATAAACTCAAACTGGAACTGGGAAGAAACAGAAGCTGACGAAAACTCAAAGCTGAAGACGCCGCATTTGAGAAATGTAATACAGCCCCACTAGATGAGACGAAATTAGAGTGATAATGTAATCAGATGAGACTATATATTTAGGTAGAAATGTTGTATGAATTAAGTGAAAGCATTTGCAGTGACATATATAGTATGCTCATTAATGCTGTCACAAAAATAATATAAGAGTTTAAATAAATACACAGATTTAAAAGACTAATACATCAAACTAGTTTCTTCCCTTGGTCAGGATAAAAATTATCTCCTCTAACTCTGAGTTTGATAATATACTTTCCGATCACAAACATTTTTAAAATAAGGACAATAATTCGAACCCTTCAGCCAGCACAAATATGTGAAATTGAATGACTTCCATACTTGTCTGTGGTGTGCCTCAAAAGGCATCATACACCAAAGTTGCTTGAATTTCCTGTACATATTTTATTTTCTTGTATACCCCCATGTCTTTTTGCACACAGTGTCTTCCAGGAGGACCCTTCTTTCATTACATATCTGGCTAATTCAACTTACACGTCTCCTCCTAATTGCACAGCATGAAAAGATTCTCGGTCCCATCTCTATCTACACCAGCAAAGGCATGTTTACCTGTCTTCAGATCCCGACCAGGGTTTTCTTAGTGAGCATAAGGACAGACGGTTGCACACGCAACACAAACTGAAAAGGTTGGCTGGTCCTAACTCCTCCACCGGAGAACACAATGTGGCAGTTAGTTCCCATAAAGATGACAGCCTTGGAAGATTCTGCCTTATACGATGGTGTCACCATAAATTGGAATCAACTTGAAATTACACAACAACTCTGGTTCAATATGTAATGTATTATATTGTAATGTTTGTTAAATTACCTATATTCCTTCTGAAATGTGAGATTGTATTTACTTATCTGTCTCTCCTTTCAAATCTATTCCTTGTATCTTTATATGCCTAGTAGGTGATACAGTTCTTCATCTGTTATATAAGGCAAAACCCCAAGCCCACTGCTATCCAGTCTATTTGACTATTACTGGTCCTATAGAACAGAGTAGAGTTTCTGAGACTAAATCTTTACAGAAATAGAAGCCCTCTTCTTTCTCCCTTAGTTTTTCATAAGCACTGAATAAAATAATTTGAATGAATGAATGGATTCATGAATATTTCTTTAATTCACATCTGCTCACTTTCACTAGCAAATAGCTCAAGAAAACTTTTTTTTAAAAATAGGTGCTTGTCATCTCTTGATTTTTTCCTCCTCCTCTAATTGTATTGTTTCTCTCAGAAATAATAAATCATCTTCCCAGTGCTTGCTTCAGCGGCACATATACTAAAATAAATCATCTTCCCATTTGTTACAATGAACCACTGATATCTTTTAAAGTTTAATTGTTCACAGGCTTTAAAACTCTTTCACCATTATTAATGTGATATTGTAAATAACAAGGAATTGGCAAGCTTTGTAAATGATGGTACACTATGATCATAGGTTGAAAAACTTCTGTCCCATAGTGCACCTGGGCAGCTAATAAAAGTTTCTGTTCTAACAAGGAATTCTATAATGGTCTCAACCAAATGATCAGACTTGCTTGGAAGACAACACTATTAATTTTCTTTGAAAAGTTCAATGATTCGCCATCTATAATTCCAAATGCCTTTATTTAACCCAAAGATTTGTGTTCATCCAGCTGAAAATAAGTAGTGTTGCCTTTTCATATTACACATGCTATCCACACACTGGAAAGAGAGTCATAAACATGAGGGTATTATTAGAATGATACAAAGTTCTGACAGTGTTAGCCAATTGTTCTTACTGCTCAAATGCCATCATGCAGATAATTTTCACATCATTAATTATAGTGATTGTCAAGAAATGCCAAAAGTGGCCTTTTTATGAAAAATAAGGTTTTAGGAAATAATACTTTGTGTAATAGGATTATAGAAATGTCTGATTAGTGAATGAATACACATTTACTGTGTAAGAAAGTGCTATTTGGATTCAATATTAGCTTAATCATGAAAAGAACAGGAACATTGTCTTCACATGGAATCTTGCATAAAATAGTTCGCAAAATGTTACTATGGGAAACATCTCTCTCAATTTAAGAATAGCACTGATAGTTTTTAAATTTAATACTGCTATTGAACAAAGCTGTTTTGAGCATAGTGTAACCCCAATTCATAACATCAGAAATAATTCACCTGCAAACTGTCATTTTCAAAATCACTTTCAATAATTTTGGAACTATCTTTCTTCTTCTATCACAAAAGTTTGAGTTTCAGGACACCTGGATCATGCTGATATTTGGAAGAAAATAAACGTTCTAGTAGCAGGTTTTTAGGATGCTTTGCCAATGTGGCAGATGTAGACAGATGTTCATTTCCCTTTGCAATCTGCAACATGAAGTTCAATGTTTCCATTAACTTCATGAAGACTTGGAATATGAAAGAGATATTTAGAGTTGAGAGAAAATGATAGGCATAATAAGCTAGGTGCAAGTTATATGTAAGTGCAAAATATAACATACTTTAACATATGCATAATAAAAATATGCTGTGCAGAAATGTGAAAGTCAAAGAATGTTAAAACAAGGCATCTCCCAACTTATTTATATTGAGGACACTTATGGAACTGTAATATTTTGATGTAGTTTACATACTGTCCTATTATGGATGTTTTAAACTAGAATTTTGGAAACCTGGGTATTAGACCAATAGCAAAAAATCAAACTCGATGTAAAGTAACTCTTCCAATGTGTCTTAAACTAGTCTGTAGCTAAGCATGACAAGGAGCAAAGCACAAAGCTGGAAGAATGTGAAAATATCATTTTTTTCTTCCTGGGCTCAACCCCAAAATCCAAACGCACTGCCATCAAGTCTGACTCCTAGCAGCCCTAGAACACAGGGCAGAACTCCCCTGTGGGTTCCCCAGACTTCAGCTGTTCATGGGATTAGGAAGTCTTGTCTTCCTCCCAAGGATGCTCAAGGTTAGTAGCCCACTCATAACCACAGGCCACACGGGCACCGTGTGCTCGTGGAGATTGTATCTCAGAGGTCGGAGTAAATCTTTTTCAAGACAATGGGTCTCATCAGTTTTCTTTCTAAAAGCACTTTTAAAATTTAGAGATGCGAAGATAAACTTTCTTTAATTTACATTTCCTCTTTCAACTTAAATTCAGGTTTTGTTCCAGTTTTGTAAAAATATGACATGCATAAAATGAAATTATGTGCTTAAATGGAATTTTAAATCTATTTTTAAAGACACCTTTTGAACATGAGAACTTAATATTTTGCATCTAATTGCAGTAGAAATATTTGATAAATTTCTGACAATCATTATACTTAGAGAAGATGATACATACGTTTATTCTAGTAGTAGTCAAATGGTTTTATACATTTTAAATTAAAATACTATAATTCTTCACTGGTTATTTTAGTACTTCTCAATGGCCTTAAAACATGTCATTGATATTTTCCGTATTTTAAAAACATAAATTATGATATACTTTTACAACTATGCCCCCACCGATTATTTAACAACATGCTACTGGGAGGTGCTGCCAACTTGATTTGGACTCATAACAACCTCATGTGACATATCAAAACTGATAGCATGGTTTTCCACGTCTTTCCTCCCAGAGAGCCACTAGGTTGGTTCAGACTGCTGACCTCTCAGTTAGCATCCAGGTGTATAACTGCCGCACCACACAAGTCCCTTAATTAACAACATGCTAGGATTCCATGATGCCAGGCACCATAACTTATTTAAATGTTTTTCTATTGCTCAATATCCAGACTGATTCCAAATATTTTGCTGTTATAAATGGAATGGACAAAGGTATTTATTTGTGATTTCTGTGTTGGCTATTTATGACTATCCACTTGAAAAAAACCAACTCCATAAAGTAGATATATTGAGTTAAGAGATAAAGCAAAAAGATCCAGATTTTTTTCCATACACATAAACCATTTAGCTCCCCTGAAAAGTCACACAAGTGAACCCACACTGATAGCCCAGCAATTTATGAAATTCGCAACTTCCCTTCATCTCTATCATTGTGTTTTTTTCACTAACCTTTGAGAATTGCTTAAGTTTTAACTTGTATCTTAATTTTTGCTGTATTTATTTGACTACTAGTTTGATGTGTTTGATCTGTATTCACTTGAAATACTCGGCACTGACAGGGAAACCACAACAATATTTATCCTCAATGTCAAACACTTAACTAATATGTCAATTGTCAGAATATTATATCTTTCCATTCCCCAACCCTTAAACTCACTGTATGGGTATCGATCTTCAGTTGTGTGGATTTCAAAGCCATTCCTGAATAGACTGTAAGAAAGCCAGTGGGCATTTGGAGAATCAGGTGGACTCCAGGAAAGATGGATAGCAGAAGAACTTTGAACTTGTCCTCTGGGTGGAGGTTGCTGAAGTGGAGCTAGATTACAATGGAGAGAGCAGTTATTAGCCAAGGCAATCAATAAATGCACCAGCAAACTGAAGCGAGAGATTCAGCAAAGGGGTCTTTCTGGTTCAGAATTACTTTATCAAGAAGACATGTGGTTTACCAAGACATTAATAAACAAAAAGCCTGCAACAGGAGTTCTCAAAGAGTTTTCATCTGTGAGCATAAAACCAATTCATAGGTCAAAGCAGCTGATAAACAGTTCAGGGGAAAGGTATACAATTTTGCATCAAGCATTTTTTTCTTCTTCCTCGTAAGAGAAACTACTCAAGGATGCATAATACTTACTTTCTAATTAATTAGTTTAATAGCTGATGTAACCAAGTTCCACTGAAACTTGAAGTTTAAATAGCATATTTTTTTTAGATTTTTAGAAAGAATTTTCCATCCCATTAAGCACAATGACTCCTCTTGCCTCACAGAACAAATTATAAAAGAAGGTAAAATATTTGGTGACACAGTAACTATAGATGTTGAACAGTCTAAATATTAGCAAGAAAAATGTTAATATACTATGTGAATACACAGACACTTGCTACAGTGTTTTTCAGGCAAATAAAAGCATGTAGCTATTTTAGAGCTACATGTATTTAGAGCTATCTGTATTATATAATACAGATATTTACCATGAAAACATTATTTCATCATGACACATTTTCCTGACATCCCTTTTCTTGTGATGTTACTTTTATTTTATTTTTTGGAATACATAAATATAAAAGAGAAAATATCCACCTATTTTAAGGATAGTCAGCCGCCAGCTTATTTACTTTCTTCTGATGAAGATGCACCACACGGTATAATTTAAAAGCAATACAATTTCATCAAATTTTCTCATTACATTATCTATGAATCGTATACACCACTGTGTTGCCTTATTGTTTAACTATGAATCCTTTCCCAATAATTGTGTTGAAATTAACCAGTCGAAAAATAATTGCCAATATTTTTTGTGAAAAATATGCAAGTACTGGGTGCTCAGAAGAAAAGAGACCGTGCAGTCAAGTTGGGTAAATTTAAAAAAGAACCTATTGAAGAATCAAGGAGCCCCAAAGGCACTGGGAAGTAGGGATTGAACTGACAATAGCAAGGTCGCTAGCTCCAACTCCCCAGCCAATCTGCGGGAGACGGATGAAGCTGTCTGTCTGCTCCTGAAAAGGTTTATGCTTCCTCTCGGCTGGTGCTATAGGTTGGCATTGACTCAATGGCAGTGGATTTAGTATTAAAAGGACAATTTTCAAAGGGACAAGCCAAGTATAATGAAATCAGAAGTAATAAGGCAGTGCTCTGGGGTATATTAACAGCAAAACTCTTTTACAATTTAGGTGGCCGTTTTCAAGAATACTTCTATGTGTCCAGTGATTATCAGTAAGATCCCAAGGTTAAGCACATAGTATATGCAAGGCTGATATTTACCACAACAAAAAGATACAGAGCATAGTCAACAAAGGGAGCAGGTGTGTGGTGCAACAGGCAAGGCTCCCAAAGGGCCTCGTTGAGCGGTGAAGGTGCTCAAACTCACAGCAACCCCGAAGGGCAGGTGGGCCTGCCCTGGTGCGCTTCTGTGATTGGTACCCTTGACGGGAGAAGCAAGACCATTTTTTCTCCCACAGAGCGGCGGTGGTTTGAGCTGCTGGCTTTTTTGGATTGCAGTCTAACTTGTAACAATGTTGTCACTAGAATATACTCAATTCCCCCACAAGGAGTTGTAGCAACCTCTATGAACTATTGTCAAACAGTAAGCTCATTCAAAATTCAGCACCCATGTCTTTGGGGCCTATGCTCACCTAGGAAAGCCCTGCCTAGCACATGCCAATATTCCATACTCCCAGAACGAGAGCATAGTCATGACATGAACTCAATATTTCATACAAAAGTTTCAGCATAGACAGTCACTCTGAACCAAGACACCAGCCAGGGCTCAAGTGGAAAGCAGTGTTTTCTACACAGAGCAGACAGGCTTGCTATGTTCTTTCTTTGCTGTGCACCTTCCTGACCCTAGAGGGGTACACAGAGGTGTGATTGTCAGAAGCCAGGGATGTAGAGGGCTGTACAGTTGCCTGATAGCACTCTATGGCCTCTCTCAGGGAATACACCTAGCTCAAAGCCACCTTATGTTAAGGAACATGGGATTAGATATCCTGTCTTCCCCTTCCTCCAGTCTTCCAGGTAATGGTGGGTGATGAAATCCTAGCAGATAAACACAATTGAAAGGCAGCAGAGGTCCAGGGAGCCTGATACTGCACACCATACAGAGTCTTAAGAGTCAGAGCCAACTAGAGAAATAGGGAGTCATAAAATCTTCAGCATACTGAGCAAAGACTATTAACTAAACGCTATTTACCATTTATCAGCGCTCGCCAGTCATATATTTTATTTTAAAGACCATGATCTTATGGCATATAATATTTACATCACATAGCTTTTAAAAAAACATCCAAATTGGGTACTCTCACTGTTCAATATTTATTTGTTTCTTTGGAATTTACATTGTTATATTAAAATTTCAAATTAACATACACACATTTAGATCCACGATGAGTGATAACAACCAAAGTGACACAGGAAAACAGAATGGCCTTCATACAGGGCCTTACATTATTGAACTCAGGAGTTTGACATATTTGATATCGTTACTATGATTGATTACACACTGGATGTATTTGATTTTTTCAGTGGTTTTTAATTCAAGCCTCAAAGCCCTATTGTTTGTGATCGAGGCCCACTGATTCCCAAACTGTCCCCATTGACAGCCTTTCCAAAGAGCCTCGCAATGCACGTTCAAGTTAGAATTTCTTTTATGAATATTAACAGATATATCTAAAACTCCATAAGCTATCGGGATTACATAAGATTTCAGAGTTAGAGAAATCATAACTGACCTTTGGACTATTAGTCTAAGACAGTGAAAGCATTTCAGGGGGACAAAAAGAGATAGATGTCTCAGTTCTATTCAAAAGTGTGGAAAATGATTTGCTTTGCATGAACATTTCCTTAGCAACCAGAAGCTCTTCATACACGTGGGCTCTTTGCAAATGTTTCAAGCTGATTACTTGTTATGACCATCTCTAGGCACAACCTTGTCTGACTCACAGTATAAATAAACAGTACCTGTTGGGCATTGAAATGAGAATCTCCATGAGCCTGAAGTGCTAGACATCACAGCACCAACCCCCATGCAGGGAGCTTGAAGGAATTTGAGGGATGGAGGAAAGACGTGACTGTGATACAGCTTTGGGCAACAAGCTAGGTGTTGGAGCGGATGCGGCAGGTGGGCTCTCACAACAGGAGGTCTCTCTGTGGCAAGGACGGCAAGGAGAGACCGGAAGAGAATGACACACCTAAGGGAAGGGTTGGGGAGGAGCGGGAGGCTCATGTGCACGTGATGCTGCTCTCTGTGCACCACAGGTGAAAGTGGTCACTATGCTGTGCGGAGGAGGCCAAGGAGCAGCAGCGTTGAGGTCTGGTGTGATCTTACCCAGGACTAGCTAATGTTGGACCCCTTTCCACATGTATCTAAGGCAGGAAGCTATCTTAGTAGCTAAAACATGCGCTTCTTGGGGCTATTTTTAAAATAATTGGAGTTAGAGTTAGGTTGCAGTGCGTCTTCTTTTTTATTAATACGACATGAACAACTTGAGGTCAATGCATAGAGACCATTTTTTACTCCATTTACTCTTAACATGCTCAAAGAACAAGCATGCAATCCTGGGCATGAGATAGCCTGACCCAAGTCATTCTGTGCTCAAATACAAATTTTGAGAAATCATTCATTCATCAAAACTGCCAGGGTGGCTGAATAACATGTTGCCTCTTCTGTTTGTCTATTAGTTGATGTATATTTACTGGAGTCATAAGTTATCGAGCAGCCATTCAATGGGGGACAATTGGTCTGGACTCACCAAGACCAACACAGGAAGAAGACGAGCCAGGAAAAGGAGAAGAATATGGAATGAATGACTAATTTTCTTCATGAACAACTTCCTCCTTTACATGAAAAAAAAAAAAGAATAGGATAACACTTGGCTAACATGACTGACCATTTTGAACAAAAATTCTACAGAAAAAACGATGTAAGGAGAAAAATATGCAACTGAATTTTAAATTCTCATAGACTTGAAAGTTCCTAGAGTCATAGAAGCTTGATGGATCGTGGATGCCATTGTCCTGAGATAGAACAAAAATAGCAATCTTATAACCAAAGGACAATGTCTCCTTGAGCAGTCTTTTGTGCTTGTTTAAGAATGAGCCATCTGAGTTTAGAGTGACAACAGGGGTCAGTTATTTTATGTAAATGATGGAGGAGCAACTCAGAACAGGACGGAGAGACTGGGTGGTAGTTTGATAATATAGTGTCAACTTGAGACTATTAAGAGTGGAGGGGTGGAATTTAGCCTGTCAATCAGGTTTCAGCTTCATGACCTCACTTGGAGGCACTACAGAGATAAATAGCTCACTGGAGGCCAAACACATACCCTCTGATTGTCTTCTTGTGATACATTGCTGCTAACAAGCCACATGGAGCTAAGCTAATGGAGCCAGAGCCCTGGAACTGGAGGAGCCATGTAGAGACCCATGCCAGCGCTGAGATGTTCCCACCACCACTGGATCCACAAGACTTTCCACCCACCAGCCTGTGAACTTCATACATTTGGCATCATTCCATGTGTAGCGTGAGTCAGAAGAGGAATTTATTGTCTGGTATCAGACATATGGGCTAAAATCGAACTTATGAACTTGAACTGAACTGGGCTGGGATGTTTTCTTAATATACAATTACTCTTTGATATAAAGATACTTCCTACACACATTTGAGTCCCCCTAGATTTGTTTCTCTCATCCACTTGGGCTCACATAGAATGGGTGCACACTGTGGAACATACCAATGTCCCTGAATTACACATGTAAATACTGTGGAGTTGATGTGCTGCATTTTAATGCAAAAGCATGCATGTTTGTTTGCCAACTGCTCT